CACATGGTCATGACGACCACCGCCCGTAAATAGAGGATCACTTATCAGTATTCAGGACAAATACAAACAGTATATACAAAATTCAACTGTGTACATTATTTTTCTGCAAGATAATTTTTTTTTTTATTAGTGGACTTAAAGACAATGATAACAAAAGCCAGATTGTAGAGAAAAGATAATTGATTTCTACAAGACAGACTACTGTGGAATACTTTATTTTCGCTTTGTATGGAATTTATTTTCACTGATTTTTGACGAGTTTAATGTGAAATATAGGGGAAAAAAGTATATTCGCTGGTTTTTATTTTCACAGAATCTCCCTTCAGCGAAAATAGCGAAAATAAAGTATTCTACAGTATTTCAGTAAACTAATATGATTGTACTATAGAGGTATAATGATGACAGTTCATATACACAAGTCGGTCAGTCAGTCAGTCAGTCAGTCTGTTGTTCACTGTATGGTATTTTATTTACCTTACCAGGAATTAATTTTTAATTAGAACCAGGTTATATATAAACATTAGTGAAATACGTTTTCAGTTTTATTTTCATTGATTTGTCACTAAAGAAAACTGACAAGTAAATCTAAAATACAGATTAGTAGCCAAAATGAGTGTGTCCATTTCAAAACTATGTCATATTTTACTGATCTAGTATAAAGTTAATACAATTTTTAAGTAGGCTTCTAATAGAGCAAATATGGTATTCCATATTCCATATGTTATACAGGAAGCTATAGAAAAAAAAAAAAGTCTCAGGGAGAGTGGAAATAACTTCCTCCATGATGAAGTGACCCAGCAAGAAAAGCAAGCAGGAAAAATAACCCAGAAAGGATGGATGGATGGATGGATGGACATGTACTCTTTTTATAGACCAGTGGTAATTGTTACGTACAAGGCCCAATTTCACAGGCGAAAATAGCGTTTTTTTGAGTTGACGTCTGATTGACTCACTCGTGTATGAAAACATCAAACCTTCATTATATTTATAGCTTTATGCAGACAGGAATTCCTGAGTTGAAGGCCAGTCCCACTTTGATTGTCCAAGATATCAATCATGTCTACCTATGCTGAATAACAATCAGGTGAAACGAGGAAAAAACCCAGAGCTGACCTGCGTCTCACAAGCATAATGTTAGCAATAGCTTTCTGCTTATATTACCGAGAGATTGTGAATAAAGATATTAACTTGGTAAAAAATAACTAAAGACCGTTACATTGAATTGAATTATAAATATGGGGAACAAAGAACTATGAAAATGACCTTGAGAAAAAACGTTCATCACTCATCCAATCACATCCGCCATTCTGTCAATTCCTACCTCACTAATTTTTAAAAAAATGCTTCAATTCCATGTACACACTTCTAAACCTCTCGCCAGTTTTATATTTCATTTGATTATTAGAATTGTCCAGAATAATTGCATGTCAAAATAAAATTTAAAACTGAATGCAGATGAATTTTAGAAAATTATTCAGCAAGAAACTGTTAAAATCCTATCACTGTAAGCGCATCATTATTCATTGGTATTTAATTTTACTATTTCATATTTGGGCAGTTTTGAGCATATTTCACTGGGTTTTAATTAAATTTCTGCGATTTTCCAGAGAACATCAAAAATTATATTGTAGCTTCACGTGTTCCCATGGATATAATTTAGCGCATTTCACTTCATCAATATAAATAGCGAAGTTAATACTAAGTATTTAAATTTAATGCGACCACCCTTTAATATAATTACAACTCAAGGATAAAAAGAAATTCATAAATCCTAAACCCTTGCAGTTACAGAAACGTACTTTATTTATATTTATGACAAGAGATATTGTTTATTTATTTATTTATTTTTTTAATTTGGGCAGGAAATCTTTGCCACTCGTAACATTATTATCAGACTAGATAACATACAGGATGTTGGTGGCATGACCTTTTTGAACTTCAAGCCAGACACATTGCTAAATGACAATAATAATATTTACATTGTACACTAGTAGTGTGCACAATGGTTTATAAATTTTGAAAGACAGTTTAAAATATGTTTCAGAATACAATTATATATTCTTAAACTTTGAATTCGCTAGTTTTGTAATATATATTTAATTTTGATACCTCATCCCATGTTAGTTGTCAAAGTTGTGTACTTTTGGACCAGTGGCTGTTGTGCAGTAATACATTCACAAAAATAATTTCAATTTAATTATTTGTCTTCAAACATGGTAGATGCAAGACTTTTCATAGTTGTCAAGTAACTTTGAGTTTGTATTACAGGATGTTTGAAGAACGTCAGAAATACCCATACAGTATTATACAAAAATGTGTAGTTTTATTTAACCAGAGAAAGGTTTACATGCAAAATAACAAATTTAAATGACTAGTCACACAAATAAACTTGTTGCAAGGTTTGTCGCACTTTAAATCAAAATAACTGTACTGACCTTGTCAAGACAGTATTGTTCAACAGGTATTCTATTTCCTTCTACATGTGCTAGTACTTATTGATTCTTCAGCCACTAAAACCATGTACAGGTAGTTCGGGGTCAGGACAAGGTCATATGGAAGGTGGCAAACAACAAAAGTAAAACATTTGGCATTGGAATGCTAATTTGTTAATACTTTGGATAATCTACTGACCACTAGTAAGTCGCAGTATAAATACAAGTACATACATGCAAATACGTTTATTATTAGTGGGGGTACAGCACTTAATGGTGTACTCTCGCTAGCTTACTTGTTGAGACAGATAAGAAAAAACAATTTTTTTTTTTCTTTAGTAGTGACAGCCTGGCCCGCAACAAGTTTGTGAAAAATAATTCAACCCTTATCAGAAGGCCCAAAAAATGTATCTTTAATTATTATGTGCACCAGTTAAAAAAGCTTTCGGCTTTTAAAAAAAAGAAAAGAAAAACAATTTATAGGTGTAATCGGAATAAAAGCACAATTTTCATGACATTTTGTTAACACATTCATTTCAGAAATAAAATTGAAAAACGTTTTTTTTGGGCCCAAGCACAGCTAAATTAACAAACAAAAAATTTGAATCAGTTGCCAAATTCTGTAAATCTGCATAATGAAGAAATACCCTCATACTCCTGCATTGACACAAAATTCAGTGTTCTTGCAAAATAATAGCTACAATAAAACTAATTATCGTCAGAACTCATCAACAATGACGCATTATGCAAACATTTATCTGTAACCTCAGTCACCATGAATGGTTTGAATCCCCAAAAGAGAAAAGAAGCCCTATTATGTGCAGAACAATGACTCTGTTTGGTGTGATTATAGGGGCTTCAATCTCCACCTATTCAAGAACATTTTAAATTATGCAGCAAGAGAGATTACACAAGGGTCACTTTGGAAATCAGATTTTCCTAGCATTAATCTGTACAACAATCTCAATTTAGCATTCCATTACAATTTCACCTCTGCATTAGTTTGACTGGCAAATTAAAAACGTCCAGTGAATTAAGAGTGAAAACGCTGGAGATTGGTCGAGCATGCTGACATTACCAACAGCTCGTCATACATTCTAATGAAATATTTTATTGAAAAGCTTATAGCAGATAGAAGTGAATACCAATTCTTTTTTAAATTCAAATCTATTTTATGGACATGCATATATTAAAAGAATACAAATTGAAACTTTTTCAACTGTAAATTACCAATTCACAGATCAGACTGGGTGTGAAAAGGGTGTTAAGATTACGGAAGCACCTGCTTTGATGAGCAGTGAACTAAAGAGTTAATCAGAATGCCAAAATTACGAGGATGCAGGTATTGAAAACAACCAATTATGCGATTTCACCCAATTAGCATCATTTATTTGCATACACCCCCAAGGGTTTGCTTGTCTTCAAAAAAAATCAAATGGCTAAATGGCTACCAGTATGTATACTGGCATCAACCAGTCCAAGGAAACACTGGTGTAGCGAGTACAAGTTTAACAAAAGGATTAAGCCCAAACACTGACAATTATTGCCATAGTAAAATAAAATTTAATCTTCAGTACATGCAAAACATTTTAAAATTAGAAAAAGTTATGTATACTTTTTAATAATAATGGAATCACACTGTTAACAATTAAACTCCACTGGTAGAGTTCACACTTATAAGCACAATTACTTTCAGGCCAATAGTTTTGGCACTCTTTCACAAAATACAACTTGTACTGTACAGAGTTTACAAAATGAATTGAGCAGAAAAGAAAACCTGAAATGGGAGTTACACAGCACAAATAGTACCAAACACATTTCATCCTCGCCACAAAACTATGGGTGTCCTGAAATGGTTCTATTACAACTAATAGGTAAACAAATGATAGGCCACCTTGAATAGTTGATTAACAGAAATTATAACTTACAGGCTATAAAACATTTCACTAAAAATTCAGTCATTTTTTCATGTACTATTTTGTTACCAGCATACGTACAGAAAGGCAATATTAATCAGTAATCAAATATTAAGGAATGTAAAATATTCAACTGCTTTCAGGCAGAGGTGAAAGGGCACTTATTTTGTCTGGATCTGCATGCCAAAAACGCATGTAAATTAGTCTTTGTTTGCTCTGCAGTACACTCCCTCAGTAGTGTATTTTAAGCACCCAGTCAATATGTACAGTATGCCCTCAATGTTTTCATACATAATAGCATTTGAGTGGTCCGGCTGTTCAATGCCAAATGACTCAATTTTGCTGGCATTCATTCAACTGCATTAGTAATGCAGCTTCCTCTTTAAAACAATTGATCAATTTTTTTTATAGTTTATATCTAAATTAGTTGAGGTGGACAAACAATAAAATTTCAAGGGCGATGTTTGACAAAACAATTTGTGCCAAATTCACCCATTTGGTGAGGTGGTTGGGTCATCTGCATTTTCAAGCCAAAATAATTTCTGCAAAATGTACAGAATTTGAATCTAGCTCTAATTATTCAAATTCCTGTGCAAGAGGGGAACTAATATCCACTAACGCCATCACCACATGCAACTCAATCAGAAAATTCAGGAAAAAAAAAACTTGTTTATTGCATTTTTGTACTTTAGAAAAACAATTGTTGCGTTAAAAAAATTAAAATCAAACCATGAATTAAATACCAATGCATCCCATGCTTGAAGTTTACGAGAAACTTAAATGCTGATAGTGAATAATTTAAGGTCATTAACAAGATTGTCATTCACAAGGTTAGCATAAATAATTCCCTCAACAGAAACAAAGACGAAATTAAAATGCCTTCGACCATTTATCAGAATTAAAATAATTTTGAATACACCAATAACATGAGCAGTGAAGCTGAACTGATATTTTGCTGAGAAATAACCTTTAATGCTTTCATATTCAGATTTCTCAAGCAGGTGCATTACAGGTAAAAGGATGGAAAAAACTTCTGCCAGCAGATATTAGTATATAATACTTGAATAAAACAGTTCATAATATATAGTTATTAGTGCAATTCATTATTTTTTTATACAAACATTAAAGAGTTAAACTTGAATAGAAGTACAGTCTGACAATAAAATTCCAGAAAAGAAAAAAAATTGTAAATACTGAGTTATTTGGTTATTGTATGGTACTGATCTGATCTGGTACGCAGCAAGTCAACTGCTTTTTTCGTAAAGGATTACTATCTAAAGTTTATGCCTTAGAATAAAACCCCAACAATAGTGACTGTCGAGTCTGTACAATTCATCCCACAAAGGCAGATGCAATGGCAATGTAATGCAAAGTACGATGTCATGCCTTAACAGGGCAAGCTGTGCAAATCAAGCAACCGCATTAACTTTCAGCCTGGCCATATTTGAAACTTGACTTTGTGATTTGATTCACTTAGATTTGCACAACTTGAGCTAAGGCATACATAACACATTCTCCATTCGTTTTTGGTACAAAATAAATTGAAAAATTAAATTTTTTGAAAACAATATATAACATTTAGGACAATAAAACAAGACATCACAAGACATGGCACCTGAAAAATAAATTCCGAACACGACTTTTTTTTAAAACTTAAACGTAGAAGAACTTTTACTTTAATGACAGAAAAATAAAACTTTTTAATAACAATTCCATAATAATCTCAAATCTCGGCAAATATAATATTAGTATATCTGGCCATTTCAGTAAGCTGGCCAAACAAAAATAAAAAAATATTTGCATTTGTATTAAACTTTGTTCAACATTTTTGGTCATATCTCACACCTACATATACATAAACTGTAAATAATATATTAAAAATAAGTAAATTCTAGCTATGAGTGCAACGGATTTTACCATATAGTCAGTTGCTATTTATACAAATAATATAATATGTTAGAACAAGAAACTGCATCATTTCAAAAAACCTTTTTTTTTCAATTATTTAATTAAATACCCATTTTGGGCAACATTTTAATTCAACAATATAGAATAAAATAATGTCTATTTATATTTTTGGACTATAAAATATTTTGCTGGGTAAAATATACTTTTTAAAACCAAATCTCAATTATATTCAATACTTTATATCCACTTCCCAAAAATGAAAAAATTTTCAAAAATCTGTGATAATAATTAATTCATAATGCAACTCTAAAGTGATCTGATGCAGACTGCATAAGCCTTCCTAAATAAAGCTTTGAACCCAGCTGTAGAACTTAGACTCTTGTTCATGTAAACATCTTCGTATGAAATAGATATCTTATATTCAAAGAATAAAATTTTTTTGTAGTTAAAGTTATAATATCTTGTGTAAGTTATACAATAGGCATATGGATTTTCTTAAGTCAAAATTCTCATAATTCATTGAATTTGAATATTTTTATGGGTTTTTGAAATGTATAGTTTTTATGCAAATGCTAAAGTTTTTGTTTTGTTTTTACTAAGAAAATATACGAATTGCCTGAGTGATGGTCTGGTGACAGACGGGGCACTCGGGATCAGACTTTTCCATCAGACGATTGGCACACTCCATACAGAAGAGGTTGTGACCACAGGGGACGAGAGCGGCAACAACTTCACTTTCAAAACACATCATGCATTCTTTCCCCTTCTTTGGATGCTGCATAGAACCAATGGAATTAGTAGGGCTAGTTGACGCAGAAGTGCTGCCTGAGCCAGTGGAGGAGGTAGTTGAAGATGGGAAACTATTGATGATTGGTGAATATGACGAAGTTATGGTAGTTATCCCTCCACTGAGGGGATCACTATGGATACGACGTGCTGGTGGATGGTCTCCTGAATTGCCTACTGTGGGCCCCTCCTGAGGTGAGGCAGATGAAATGCTGCTGCTGCGACGTGGTATGGATGATGCGGCAGTGGTTGTTGGGTTGAACATAGCATTATGACTTAAATCTGTCCACATTTTGGCCGAGGGGTCATAGCTGGTGACATCAATTCCAAGATCAGGGGAGACTTGCGGAGAATTGAAGAGAGAATATCCATTCAGATTGTTGGTGAAAGTAGTGCTGGTGGAACTGGCTGTGGAGAATGGAGTAACATTTGGGTTGAAATCACTTATTTTTGTAGTACCATTTGTATTAACAAAGCTGAAAACCATATCCCCAGCAGAGGCTTTAGTTGTATTACCTGGCAAAAAGTTATTGCTATTTCTGAAAGAGGTGAAGGCAGAATTACCAGGTTTGTTTCCATACAAAGGACCCAAATCATCAGCTGCATTTATGCCAGAGTCCGTACCGTTAATGGCAAAATCGTTTTCGTCGGCAGTGGAATCTATCAAGCCGCCGGTACGCATAGCTATGTGGCTCTCTATCTCTTCTCTCGCCCTTTCAACATTTTCGGGTAAACCGGTGACTTCGAAGACTGGTTCCTTCTCTCGACTCGGCGTGACGATGTACGTGTGTGTTGTCTGCTGAATACGTTTGATGGTCGCCCCCTTAGGGCCAACAACCAGCCCGACAACACGATACGGAACGCGGACCTGGATTGTTGTCATGCCCGGAGTATTTGGGCCCGGTGGTCCTGGAGCAAGGCTGGCGGCGGCTGCAGCGTTATTTTTCCGACTAGCACGTATTTGACTAAAATGTTCAGCGGCGGAGAGAATTTCTCGCCGAGCCATTGCAACATCTTCCTTCCGGCCTGTCACCACAAATACGGGTTCCTCGCCTCGAACAGGGGTTTTGATGTAAGTGTTCGTTTTCGCCCGTAAAGCCTTAATTTTACAACCTAGATAGGAAATAGACGAAAAGTACAACGGATCAGAATACACTATCGGAAAAATCACGCCGCGCCAATGTCCACAGAACACAAAACAAGCTCCAACTAAATGAGTCACAGCCAAACACAGCATATTAGTAGGCAGCCATTATAACATGACGACATAAAGGCTCGCATACAAACGCGAAACATGGCCGAACGAAAGATTTTGCGCTGGAACTCTGCAAAAATTCAACACTTCAATGAAAGTCAACTCACCTTGTCTTCCTACTATTTCAGCCACATGTTCTGAACTTGGAACAGGTACACACTCTGTCATGTTAACGCTTTTCTTTGCCTTTTCTGCATCTGAGAAACTAGTCCTCTCGTCTTCGCCGTTGCTGCCGTTGAGCCCTAACACGGAGTTCAGATCGATGGCAAGTTGTAATTGCTGTTCTTCCAGTCCTGGCCGTTCCATATCCGGGAAAAGTGAACTAGGCATGGTCGGGGAGGGAAAGGAGTAAAAAACACTGATAAATGTACAAAAATAAAGGTAAAATCTAGAGGTTTTCTGTGAGCTATTTGGCGTGGAATATAGCCGTGCTATACGATGCGCGGCAAAACCGCTCACTGCCTTATTACTGAACTAAACTCAGAATGTAGTAGACTCAAAATGTGCTTGTGACGTCACGATAAATGAACCGTGTCAATCGTTTTCTAACAATATTTGTGATTGGCTAGGACTCCGTACATGAAGGGCGTCGATAATGTGCTTACCTTGTGAATTGAGGGAAAAAGGAAAAGAGAGCTGACATATCGTGTGTTTGCATTGGTATCGTTTCCATTTTCAACTGGAGAATTGTAGCACTGCCCGGGAATCTTGTGTGTGTGCTTTTCGGAATCGAAATGTTCCACGTTCCAACTGGCCAATCGTATGCCCAGACACAAAATGTTCCAACCTCTGGAACACCGCGCAATTAGCTGTCAATTTAGTACCACGTGATTACAACATAAAGCAGTGATTGGCTGAGAATGTCGGCAAGGTGTGGCATAAATTGGCGGGGCTGCCTGGCATGACAAATCTAAAGCCGAACTGTAAAAAAATCATTTCAGCGTTGGATATTGAGTAGAACTCGTGTACTTGTGTGATTTGTGGAAACCAATATTTTAAAACCAATAATTGTGTTTTAAAAAACGTTTTCGGTTTTGGATATTATATCACTGACAAGGGTATTATTTTATTTCATTTCCGCGAAGCATATTGTTTGTACTATGTGTACCACAAGCGTATAGCCACACCTTGGCATGGCTAGCACAATCCTCACCTGTGGCAAGGGGCACACTTTTATCCGCCATTTGGTCGAGTGCGGGGATGTTGAAACGTCAACAATGGGTTATTTTCCTTCATTTTAAATCCGCGTGACACGGTGTTACAATACTTTTTTTTTTAATGGGATTCAGTCGATATTGAAAATGGCATCAGCTGTGGACGTTTTAATTCCATGTTTCCCCTTAAAATAGCCTATGTGCGGCCACCGTAACCAGCTAAGCGGAGACCTGCGGTATATTATAATGAGATAGCAGTTATTGGCTCTATTATTGGCTTCTGTATTGTCGCGCGGAATTTATGTATTAGGAACAAGGCGGGTCTTCGCGCATTAAAAAAATCTCGTTCGTACGGTGCCCATTGCATACATTCCATCTATAATATCTGGATGCAAAACGAAAACGTCATCGTGTGATATGGGACTTGCGGATATCGCACACGGAAACGCGGTTCCTAATTATCACGTAGTATTGAGTTGCATTGCACTACACCATTTTATTATAACTGCGACATACAATTTCAGCACGAGGTCACCCACGTACGCCGCTTTATTGCTAATACACATCGTCACATCAGCTGTATTTTTAGCTACACTCCAAACTCTCGTGGATACATTGGCGGCGATATTATTGAAAATAACAACTTGCGACCAAGACAAATCGCGCTACTTGCAGTATTTTTTTTTTTGTGTGTGTGAATGCCTGGCTATTTTCACACAAATGTCAGTGACTTTTCTCTGACCAACATTACCACCAAACTAATGCGTGTACTCCCTTGTACAGACAGGTCTAAACTTAGACTAAACCAGGCTTGTTGTCATAGAAACTGGCCTAGAAACTGACCATTGCTGTTGCAGTGCCAACTAAACCACGTCAGGACACTTTCTCTGGCGTTCCCGTTTGTTTGTGGATTCGCTGTATATATAAATAAGTCTCATAGTATATATAGAATATTTCGTATTACTCGTATCGTTTTTCGGGTCATCTAATTTGAATTCACCTTGCACGCGACTTGGGTTCCATCACCACGTGTATTCAGTAATGCCTCAAACATGTGGGATTTGCGCCGGCATTTGTTTACAGCGATGCCATTATTTCGGTTACTGCGTATATATAGCTATAATTTTTAAAACCACAGAAAGTAATTAATTTATAGTTTCTTTTATTTAACTAACAATTTTCTTTTATTTTATCTCTTTTGATTTTTATGGTTTTTGTATTTCTTTGTATTTATGTTCTTTACCATACAAAAACACTCTGACGGTTTTTAGTAGTGTAATAAAATTATTATTATTATTATAAAGTTACTTAAAATCAAAACCAAACACTCGAACTTGAAGTCGGTAAAACACCATGTTTTTCGGATTTTGTTTTCAATTCACTGACCTTCAGTTCATACACGAGTCCCACTGCATGTGACGTATACAACGCGAATAACACAAAAATTCAACTCGCGCTGCATGACAACTTTGGAGCTATATTTCCTATGGGTTTATGTCGGTTTTTGCTTTTTTTTAAATAAAAAGAAATTTTCCTTTCCTAGATCATTACGTAACTTGACATATTGAATCGCACCCAGCTGGGTACTAATCGAACTTCAAGTGGTACATTCTTAAGTTCGCCCGATGATGATCACGATCCTCGTCATTCACAGATATCAGAGTCTCTGGCTATGATGTTTTGTGTAAACAATCACCCTCGCCAAAGTCTATGCTACAGTATATGAATGTAATTAGTATTATAGAGTTTTGTGACCACGTGACATGTGTATGACACGATATGTGTAAACATCGTCCTTACGATTCCCTGTCTTAAGGGATTGTCCATCAGAAACTCTGGGTGGTAGATTTTAGGGAGAAATCTACACAAAGATAACTGTAAAAAAAGTCACAAGAAAAAGTACAGAAAAACAAACTATATTTGGCAAAGGAAGCAACAAAATTACAGAAGGTAAATAAACAAATTCGAACAGTTTTCTAACCCGGTTTTCTAACATCTCCTTTCTGATTATTTGTTTTCATTCATCATATCACGCTGAGTGAAACGCTTACAAACAACACGGATTCTGGTTTGTTTATTCCTGATTCGTCAGCTTATTTGGCCAGTGGTGACTTCACTACGCGAATACCTCCTTGGACCAAATAGGCGAGAGAATAAGATTTGAACTTGACCATCTTTGAAACGCCTGGCTTCAGCGTTCAAGGGCAATGAACTTCTCTGTTGTATCACAGTTCCTCTAGAGGGACCGTGGTTGTATGTATATGTGTACGGTACCGGGAAGTCCCGGGAGTTGTTCAGTGACTGCTTGTGTTGGTGGTGGATGCTGTGAGTTGTGTCATTTTGTTGTATTGTCCATTTTTTGTCTATGAGGATACGCGTATTCGCGCGGTTTCAATGTTCGGCAAGTAAGCACACACCCCTCAATCCCACGCAAATGCCTGAAATTGTCAACCGCACTTGCACCGCACAAACCGAAATTGCGTTGGTTGCGTTATATGCTGTATTTATTTTGATATTTTGTCAGTCTGAACTTCGCCCGATACATCCCGCAAGGTAAACACTGAGTTACTTCCGATGTTACAAGGGCGGTATCAGAGATGGCCAAAAAAACACTCACGGGAGATAAGTTGAGAAATACTAATTCAAAATTTGTAAGTAAAAGTTGAGGTCACGGTAAAAACAAAATTAAAATTGGCTGAAATAAAAATAGTACTTGAAGCCAACGAGAGCAAGCCTCCAAAATATTTCACAGCCCAAGCAACGTATTCGACGACAGGGTATGCTGTGCACGTGACGATTAATGTGTTGAACTTTTGACCCCAGTGAGTACAATAAGTGGGTGTGAAACGCTGCGGTTGAGTGGTGACAAGAAGTTATTCAATGCCGCCTGCAACCTGAAGGAACACGTACCTAATTACGTTTAAGGATGTGGGTTGTTTAAATACAGAACGATTGCCAGTACATCAATTGCTGTTAAACTAGTCATGTATACTACTTCCCTGTTGTTGTTCTGGGTCGTAGCGCTACGGGTTACCTCAGTCTCCAGAACCATCATTCAGACTGACCCATTTTCAGACAGCCGGGTTGTACCCATTTTCAGACTTCCGACATCATTGGACAATGGTTAGCCCGGGGTAATGAAAATGTACTTCCATTCGTCTTTTCAAAAATGAAATATTCTGTTGTGTGCATTTTTTCTTAAACATGTGTGATTTCATAGCTTAACAAAATAACATTAGTCGTGGTTGAAAATTTACTTCCATCTATAAATGTACGAAGAGGTCATTTAAACCATGGCGGTAGGAAAGAGATCTCTTTTCTACCTCCATGTTTACACTTAGTGCTTAGCATTAATTCCAAATGCGTTCGCAAGCTGGCGTTTCGTTTGTTCATCAGCTCATTCCCGCATCGTGTATGATGGAGAACCCTGCCCAGGGGCGTCCGAGCGTACATTTTAAGGTCTAGGTTATACGTCGAATTTTTGTCGTGCATTTAACCACAGACAGTATTGTATGGTATATGATTTAACCACAGTCACTCTACTAGGATTTAACTGACTATTTTTTTTTTTTTTTTTTTAAATAGCTTAATTCTTGCTGCGCCATAATCATATTTTGTTTGAAAATACACAACTGTCTCATTCCTTATTGCCGTGGCTTGAATTTATTTTGATTTTTAGATTTTGTGAACATATTTCCCGGAGTTTAAATTCACGGTTGTCCATTGATTTTGTTTATTTCCTTGGTTTTTTAATTAAAATCGCAAAAATACGCAAATTTAGAGTCCATTGAACAAATAAAATCTTTACAGTAAAAATGTGAATTTAGCATTTATTATTTAGCTATAAATTCAGAATTCCACGAACTGCCAGAGCTATTTCTCTTTTATTCTCATTATTAGAGCAATTTTTTAACGATTTGTTGCAATATTTACAGTTTATGGTAATTGTGTTAACCATTAAATTGCGAAAAAATGGAATGGGGAAGCGTTTGCCCCCAGGTTACGCGGAAATTGAGCGCCGAGAATGTGCCCGTGTGTGTTTAGCACGGAATCGAATACAGGAAAAAATCATAAAACAGTAAAAACCTGTCTCATGCTTCACTCTGTCGTCAAAACAGTATAATGGATAGTTTATGCTAGAATCGTATTGAAATTTGATTTACGAGAATTGCCACATGCCGCATAGCCTTACGACGTGACAAGCTTCCAATTAAACACAGGTGATGGGTTTTGAATATTCACCAGTGAAATAAACAGGGTGTATTCTCTGACCGGTATTTCACCTTCAACTTGCAGTACCACTGATGCTTGCAACGTAAAGCGCGGTGGTCGTCGCGCAGCGCGTGTTCGAATTTCATGTTAATAAACAATGTATTTTACACGCGTTGTATACGTCGCTATGAGTCCCATATCGAACAGGACGCGGCACGACGACTGCCGCCCTTTAAAATATTGTAAGCTGAATGATATTATAGTACTGTAACATGGTACGAATCGAGACTGAGGAAACACGAAGTTGTCAAGAGGTCACGGTGATTGCCCGAAACACATGAGATACGCTTCTTTGCCAGAATAATTCCACTAAAATGAATTTCAGGGGATGTATTCCTCCCAGAATTCTACACTGAAGGGCGCATGTTCATTTTATCGTAAATAAAGAAACAACATTCAAATGTTGTTACCGTTTTCCAAACCGTTTCCTAAAAACA